TCACAGAGACTTCAGACAGCACAAGGCCAAACAAAGGAGTATTTCTAAGTGACTTAATGAGTCCACAGAGTGAGTAAAAGGTGTGTGTAATGATGGAGGATGGGCAGGTCCAAAGAGTTTCACCCACTATAAGACAGTGTGTCAAAATACAAGCTTTTTTGGTTTATTCTTTTTTTTTCCTTCATTATTAACCATTTCATCATCAGTAAAAACATATCATGTCATTCTAAAGTGAGAAAAAATTAATTCTTTACCCTGAGGCAACATGGTGCAATAGAGGGTTAAGCTGGTAACCTATAAGGCCAGTGATTCCCAGCCCTGCACCTGAAGAAGCTCTGTTACTTGCACATGTTTACTTTATCTGAGGAAGGGCTTGTTAATGAGCTGATCATTGTGTTTATTAGAGCAGGAAAAACACCAAATTATGCCAGGACCAGGGGTACTTCAGGACCAGGGTGCTCCAGGACCAGGGGTACTTCAGGACCAGGGGTACTTAAGGACCAGGGGGGGCTCCAGGATCAGGGGTACTTGAGGACCAGGGGCGCTCCAGGACCAGGGGTACTGAAGGACCAGAGTTAAGAAGCACTATATTAGAAGTTGGAAGAAGGGGCAAAATAAGAGATACATTCTTTATCCATTTTATACATCTCAGTAAATGCCAAATCAAAGACCCTCAATCCAAATGTTTAGGAATTTCTCAGTATTAGGTATTTGGTATTAGGAACCTAAAACTATTCATTAAACAAATTCACTTTATTAAGTGGTTAACCAATTCATTACATATTTACACCGATAAGGCATAACATTATGACCACATCCTTGGTTCTATGCTCATTGTCCATTTTATGTGTCTAACAGAGTGGAGAGTGAGTGGACACAGTGTTTAAAAACTCCAGCAGCACTGCTGTGTCTGATCCACTCATACCAGCACAACACACACTAACACACCACCACCACGTCAGTGTTACTGCAGTGCTGAGAATGATCCACCACCCAAATAGTACCTGCTCTGTGAGGGTCCATGGGGGTCCTGACCACTAAAGAACAGGGTAAAAGGGGGCTAACAAAGTATGCAGAGAAACAGATGGACTACAGTCTGTAATTGTAGAACTGCAAAGTGCACCTATAGAGCAAGTGGAGCTGATAAAATGGACAATGAGTGTAGAAACAAGGAGGTGGTCATGTTATGCCTGATTGGTGTATATATAGGGACAAAATAGAGATGTGGTCTTTGTCCATTTTATGTGCTTATTTTTCACTCAGCAATAAAAAGTCAAAGAGACTCATTTCTTAAAAGCGCTCATTAAAAACAATGTTTACAAACAATTTTCCTAAAACAAGCAGAGGCTTCATTATAGAAATTCACTTCATTAAATGGTTATTTTATTAGCAGTTTTTTAAATGTTACGGGGGCAAAGTAGAGGTGCATTCTTTATCCATTTGGGCTTATTTTAAGCTTTTTTCCCTTTCCAGCAAGATCCAAGTCAAACCTGTTCTTCAGTTCCTGCAGCACTGAAGCGTTATTCTCTGTTCCTTTTCTTTTTCACACAAAATTCAACACTGAGGACTCAGAGGTCATATCTGATGAAACACTAGAATTCTGATAATAAGGACAGCCTGTCATACGTGGGATACAGACGCTTCATTGTTATTAGTTGCAATTGTTGCGAGTGTGTTAATTTGACAGAGAATTGTGAAGTTAAGTGAAATTTATTGCTCATTATACTCAGTTCTGCTGTCCAACAGCAGAGAGAGAGTGAAAGAGAGAGAGAGAGAGAGAGAGAGAGAGAGAGAGAGGAAAGCAAACCAAACCAAATTCATCCAAAAGCTCTTGGTACCACATTTCATAGTCTGAATGATTGTGTTTGTGTGTGTGTGTGTGTGTGTGTGTGTGTGTACTCCATCGAGGTAATCATGACATTCATAAGGTGTGACATTTGGAATATTTTCATTTACTGGCATTTCCTGTGACATTTCTGCAGCAGTTTAGTGCAGTGCCTAGCACTGTGTGTGTGTGTGTGTGTGTGTGTGTGTGTGTGTATGTCACCTGAAGTATAACTAACTGACCTCAATGCTAGCGGTCATAGAGTCCTTTCCTGGCAGCACATAAAAAGCATCCATTTCCTCCAGTGTTTATGTTCTCTGGCAGAGGTGGACAGTAACTAGTTAATTTAACTGAGTAACATGTACCCAATTACAGTTTTTATGGATTTGTACTTTCTCCGGCATTTTCAAAAGATACTACTTTTACCTCTACTGAGGGACAGTGGGGTCCAGAAGTCTGAGAGCACATTGAAAATCTAGAGTTTTTTTATTTAAGCCTGAAAATAAACAACAAACACTTTTAGAATTCTGAAAAAAAAGAAGAAGAAATATTCAAGATTCTGCACTAATTTCATGGTCATTATTAAAATTTAGCAAATCTATGAGACTCACCACATTGTGAAAATGATGCAACTTTTAGCTTAAAAAAGTAAAATGATTTAATTAAACTTTGATTTGATAGTGTTAATATTAAGTTGACAAAACAAATTTTTTACACAAAAAAGTTTAATAGTAATAATAATAATAATAATAATAATAATAATAATACATTATACTTATATAGCGCTTTTCAAGAACTCAAAGACGCTTACAGGTTTTCGAAATACAGAACAGTAAAGACAAACATGAGAACATGAAGCACAGTCATAACATCACAAGCAAAACATAGCAGGACTTGGCAAAGGGCTGGTTTAGGATTGAGAACAGTTATAAGCAATTATGTAGAGCTTTGTATGTGAGGAGAGGAATTTTGAATTGTATGCGGTATTTTACTGGAAGCCAGTGGAGATGTTCCAGGATGGGTGTAATATGCTGATGTGCACGGGTGCGGGTGAGAAGGCGAGCACAGATTTGTTACATTTGTTAGTCTTTGAACTTCAACCAGGGTACATACTGCATAAATTATAAACCATAATTTTTTCCAGTGCATGTTGATGTTTTGTATATAAGGTCAGGTTGTTTTTTGAGTCTTATTTTTTCCATTGAAGCTCATGTTCAGACGACTCTCAGGTGGATTTGATCTACTCATTGGAGGCTTTTGCACAAACTTCTACCTATGCCAGCTTAAGTGTTATGCATCATTAAAGCAAAATACTTACTACCATACCTAAAACTGAGAAATCCTGAAATTCATGTAAATATTGCAAAGATATGTTATTTTTTTACTCATATTGTCATACCGTTAATATTACTTATAATTTTTGAAAACTTCAAACATTTCATCTCACATAAGGGCTGTGCAGCACCATGATGGCAGCACACCTACCCTAGTATTAGGATCATCATTCACTATAAACATATACATAAGTACAGTACGTATGTATGTATATGTGTATGTATGTATGTATGTATATGTGTATGTATGTATGTATATGTGTATGTATGTATGTATTTTTTAAAGAACATCTTTGACTGTCCTGTCCAAGCTGCTGGGGTTTGTGGTATACAAAACTAAAATCAGGTTATTCTTAAATTAGTGATTCTAAAAACAAACCTCTTGGATTAGATATTTCTACCAGACATGGTAGCTTAATGTAAAGTTCAATTATTTGTCATTTGTGTGTTCTTGTTTAGGAGGAACATTATTGTGTTGACCTTCCCTGGTTGCATAAAGACAAGAATAATTTGACAAGCAATACATTTTACAAACACATTGTGACCCACTATAGCATGACATGAGGTTATTGCTCACAGCAGTACAGTCATCATATTGCAAATTCCAGTACGCTATTGTGGTAAAAAGAAACCGAAACAAGATTACGCACACATTAACATGTACACAGTTAACATAAACCCAACAACTACTGCAACGCTTCCTTATAAAGCATGTGTCCGCTCTTGATAAGCCCAATGAAGACGACATAAAATTAGACAGCTTAGAGACGGGCATGACAAAGACAATGAAAACAACACCAGCAAACTTAAAATCAGAATCAGAATCACTTTATTTTGAAAAAGTTTTTTTTTTTTCATTTGTTTCATTCATTTTCATTTTTCATTCATTTCGACAGCAGGGCAGCAAGTTTTTTTCATCAACTTTTATTTGTGTTTTCCTTTGAAAATGGGCATCCTCCACTCTGCTTTTACAGATCTCTCAGGCACATCTTTTGTATATCTGGAGCTTCAAATTTGAAGCACATTCACAAAAACACTTGGTCGATGTGAAAAAACTGAAAAAAAAGAAAGCTTGATTGAGGAAATGGAGGATAATGGAACGGTTGCTAAGCAATGAATAACACATGTCATTATAGTTAGAGTAACGTGAGTCATAACAGCTGTTTAATTACTTAAGGTGTCCTGTGGTTACTTGGACCCCTGGGCACGCTCCTATAAAACCTCAGCCTGCCCACTGCATATTTTTGAGAAAGGAATCTGCTTTTTACCCAGTAATATTTTAATCATTAATATTCTTAAATTAATTCATTAATTTATTTATTTATGACTGACTGTGGTTAATTTCTTTTTTTTTGTGACAGCATCGGCAGAGTCTTATGAATGGCTACATCTCTGTCTTTTGAGGGTTATCATTTTATTCAGGACTAAGAATGCATCAAATAGAGAAGAGCAGGCCTTACAAACTGTCAGTTTCTAGACTCATTAATACTCCACTGCAGATGTATACATAAAGCAGCTTTCAAAATGGAGCTTAGACACTCTTATTATGTATTTTTTACTATTTTATTTTTTTACTTAGTCATTAAAACATTACAACTTTCACTTCACTATGAACTTAGGCTACCTGACCTGCCTCTGTACTGGTACAAGTGTTGGGAAAGAACACTAAAAAGGGGAAGGTCATCTGGACAGTTTGGTGCTATGAATCAAAACCTTCACGTGATTTTTGGGGAAGTACATGAACTAGTGTTTCCTGTTGCTTTTGCTGATGCTGAAGAATTCTGTTTATCAGCAATTTCTCAATGGCATCACATGACCTTCTGATTCTAGTCAAATGGGCCTGACCGAACTGCACAAATCCACTCTGAGGGTCTGAGTTTCTTCATTTGTTTGAGTTTAAGACTGAGGTTAACATGGCTAAGATAGCAGCACTGATAGCAGTTCTGGCTTTTGCCCTCATGAGTTTTGAAGGGGTCTATGGTGGGATCCAGCCTGGAACCTGTAGGCTTGTGTGTGACCCTTTCCAGAGTGGCACACATGACCTGGGGGCCAATGGCCTGGTCATTCCCCTCGCCTCCTCTGGAGGGGGTGCCCCAGGTCCGGCAGGGCCCCCAGGGAAAGCAGGACCTCCGGGCCCACCGGGCCCTAAAGGAGAGGGCTCCATATCGCGGGGTGGAGTGGCTTTCTATGCAACCTTGAAGGAAGACTTCAGCAAAGATGAAGTGCTGAAGTTCAGTAACGTGATAACAAACCTGGGCGGCCGCTACGACTCCTCGACTGGCACTTTCACGTGCCGATCGGCTGGTGTGTACCACTTCAGCTACCACCTAGTGAAGACGGGAGTCAGCCTCAGGGCTGACCTGGTGCTCAATGACAGGGTAAGTTCAAGAAGTGTCCTTTTATCAGGGCAGATTCTAGACTTTTACCAAACCACACTTGTGCTTGTAAGTAGGAAATATTTCATTATTTTTAGTTTATTGAAAAGTTACTATTAAGTATGGTCTTGTTTCACACCACCCTATACGCTTTTCTCATTTTTGTTATTTCTTGGCATCTAAAAAACGTAGAAAAAGCTGGAAGTGTAGATTCAAACCTGCCAGGACAGAATGTAAATGAGATTTTAATGTAATTAAAACTATGACTTCTTTTGGAATTAACTGCGTAATCACAATGTAAACCATTACATTTGAACAGCACTGCAAATTGAAAGTAATATCTGTCAAATACTATGGGCTAATACTAAACATGCACTCATATAGAATTATATAAGAAAATAAGAACAATGAAAAGACAATTATTCCACATATTCCAAATATTGCAAATATTACAAACTACAATAATACAAATCCTCACTCACACACAGACAATACAAGTACTAAGCAATGTCATTTACTGACCAGTATAATGGGGTATAAGGATGCATTTGAAAATACCAGTCTTTTACATTATGTTAAAATTTCATGATGAATGGATGCATAGAAATGCTGCAAATTTTCTAGTACCATTAACTTCCATAGAAAGTCAAGGACGTTTTTTTTTCTTCCCCCATAAAGTTAAAATTTTAGAGAAACAAGTTTGCAACAAAATCCTAATAATATCTTCTACTTCCACGTACAAGCAGGGGAGTCACTAGAGGTTAATGGGTAAAGGGCTAAGCCTGTACTAGGGGGCTCTGGGGGCATGGTCCCCAAAGAAAATATTTTTTTTGACAGCTCCAAAATATTTAAAATTCACTTTCAGGGTAGCAACAGCCAGAAAATGTCAAGTACATCAGCCATGTTAAGTATATCAAAAAAATGGTTATTTGGTCAAATTGGCACACAGTAGATCTGTCTCTTTGTAGTTTGTATTAAGCACAGAGCAATTATAACAGACACTATATTCAACCACTTACAGCAGACACAAATCAAGCAAAGGTACTGAAGTCAAGCAATTCTACCTCCTCCCTCTTAGATCAGCTGCAAGGTGTTAAATATATTACACAGATTATAGATCATTATAGTTCAGTCTCAGTTGGTGCAATCCAATAGAGTGTGATTTTGCTCTGTAGGCTATTTAATAAGCTAGGTGACAAAATTTCATGATAATGGTGAAAATTTTATATGCTCTCAGTTAAATTCAATTAAGTATTAATTTTAACTGAAAGCTTATACAACTTTTCCCCGCTTTCTACTTGATCACTAACCTCCATCAGATCTGCTCCTTCAGTCCTGTCAGTCTCCTTCAGCTTCTTTCTCACCTTCTTCCTGTGTTTGTAATACATTAATTTAATTAAACCCAGATTCTCAAGAACTCAAGAACTTTTTTTTTTAATTGGTAAAAATCTTCTCATCTGATTGGCCTTCGACAGAGCTGCTGCCTCTTAATTTCCATCTACAGGTTGAGGAATTGAGGTATATTAAAATGTGTTATGACCTTATGACACAAAGCTGAAGTCGCGTCTTGCTTGAATTTTCCGGTTCCACCTTAAATGCTGCAGCAGTTACATTCTGGCACCTTGCAACGGAAAAATTCAAACAAAAATCTGGCGAATAGGAAGCAACTTCAGCCTCCTTTTCACTGACATTAACTTACTGCAAACAGCAATATATATGCCAAATACTGGTGCCATTGTTTCCAAATACTAGCAACTACACCCATGCTTAGAAGCACAAACGTGCTATTTACTGAAAATTTAGGGTCCAGAAAATTTTCCACCTAAGAAATAATTACTATTAAATTGACAACATGCTAATATAAACATTGGGAATTTGAATTTGTTTTCTATATATGAATATATTCTTTTCTTGGAGATCTACCTTCCTGCAGGTTTTACCTCAAATTCAAATCTAAGATACCTCATTCAGCTAATCAAGGCAATCTCAAGGCAATAATTACGCGGATCAGATGGAGTCAATTAAGGTTGGAACTAAAGTCTGCAGTATAATAGATCCCTAGGACCAGAGTTGGTGACCAGCACTTCAGAGGAGCTGAGTTGTAAGAGAGTGACTGAAATGTTAATGATATTGTGTCTGTGTTTGTATGTGTTGTAGGTCGTGGCTGGTGCAGTAGCTGTGGATGCGCTCCACACCGACACAGCCAGTAACAGTGCAGTGCTGCAGCTGAGGGCTGGAGACCGTGTGTATGTGCGCCTTAACAAGAGCGACAGCACCCTCAAAGACACACAGAACCTCTTCAGCACCTTCTCCGGCTACCTGCTGTACGAGCTCTGAACCCACCCAGTCACCCAAACACCGCTAGGCCACAATACACCTGTTATATATACATAACAGTGTGTATTGTATGAAAGTTTCCTGATAGCTCGTCCAGCCAAAGGTCTGTCGCTGAACTGCGAGGCCACTCCTTGCCTGTGCTGCATTGTCCCTGCTTTTGTGTGAGAAACCTGTTTGTGCCGCTTTGTATTCAGGCTGTGAGTCTGTCATTGAATAAAAAGGAAAGCTCTGTTACCAAGTCCCTGACTAAGACTTTTTGTTGCCACGGAAGAATCAATTCTTCAATTTAGCCGCAAGGCCGAGACCTTGGCAACACATTTCATAGGGCATTGGAAGAGATGTCACACACAGATTACAACACCAGCAAAGGAGATCTCTCTCTCTCTCTCTCTCAGTCACACACACAAACACAGTTGCTGAAGTGTTACTAATGCTTTCAAGCATGATTCATTGATCATAGCGTCCGGCTACATTTTTACATGACGGAGATAAAAGCACCAGACCCATTCCAGGTCTTGGGCACAAGCCCACAAGTATTAAAAGCAGACATTAACCCATCCACTTACTATGAGATTAGACAATGCTAATCAACAAATGGCTTCTCCACCGACCTTTACTTATAGTGGATGAGACTCGTCAGAACACAATAATGCAGCTACCTCCGAGCCAAGTGGGTAATCAAGTCCAGAGAATTCCCACTGGGCCTGTTACTGTGAGCTAATGTATGAACTCACAAATATATGCACAAGAATGCTCAGACTACAGATATTACATCAAAGTGTATATCTGTAGCAATTTAGGGGTTAAACCACCAGCCCACACCTCATGTGGTACAGCCACTGGTTTGTTAAGTGAAAGTGAATCTCGTACAGTGGACAGAGATTCATGAAGCTGAAATTAGCTTCTCATTTCACGGTCCACCTTTAATGATGTAGCAGTTGCATTCTGGAGTCTGTATGGGCTAACGTCAGCCTCAAGAGATTAACATGTCAAATTCAGCACAACGGTGAGAATCTGGTATTGGCTGACACAACACGCAGTGCTCCAGAAAGTTCACGAGCAGTTTTCATACATAAATTACCAGAGATGACAATACTGAGAACACTGCTTAATGCGGATGAGGACATATCTGAGCGGAAATGCTGTAGTTAGCTTACATGGCTAGCATTAGTTTGTAGCATACTGACTGTCATGATTATGTCACATTTATGGTAGAAGCTTTCATCAGTTGAAAAGCATGACATCAATGCAAGTCACCTTGGTTATCTCAGTGTAGAATTTAATAGGAAATAAGTTTACATTACCAAGTTGAAGTGGCAGAAATTCGTCTTGGTCTTTTCAAATCAGACCTGAACCACTTTCATATGTGGTCTGACACTGAATACGTATCCAATTCCTGGCCATGTGACCTTAATGCAAATCAGAATATATGTGTTGTTTTTTCACTGCTTTAATATGGCAGCGCAAATGCAATCTGACCCTTTTTCACTTTCATCTCACTCTAATAATGAACCGCTAAAAGCCGTTCAGAGCAAATTACCTTAATGACAAAGGCTTATTCTGCTTGTCAGTCTGTTGTTCATGGAAACAAATGAAGATAAAATGTGCACATTCTTTTTCTGACTGTGCAAAGGTTTAATTATACTGTTTTAGAAAGTTTATAAAAATTTTGTGTATAAAATTTACATAACTATGAGTAAGAAACAGTGTTGAAGTGGATTGGTCCTGTCTGGCCTGTACCCAGTCTGCTTAATAAGATCAGTATCAGTGCTGTTCCTGTTTCAGCATGTAAGGTCAAGGCATCACTAGTTTAACACATTTTTTAACAGATTTTAACAGATTTTTTTCTGCAGTGCCTCTAGAGGCCTCAGGTGGAATAGAAATAGATGCAACGTTTCTATTAAATTAAACTAATAAAATATTTTTTCATAACTTATCAGATTTAACTAGCACACAGTTCTCGGTGTGTGAAATGTGAGTCTGTGTTAAGCTGCTAGTGAGCAATGAGGGGTGAAAGGGGAGGGATTAGAACACCCTGCTGTAAAAAATCCACATCTCTTCACAAAACTGCAACTTTTTTCATATTAAAAAAGCAAAACGACTGCCACAATAAAAATCATTTCAACACAAAAACACTTTTATAAATGTTGACTTGTTTGCCGACCTACAAGCATGAAAATCCAGTTCATTTCTGGTTTTGTAAATCATATATTACATGGAAGAACAATGTACAGTTCAAATGAGAGACCAGACAGAAGTAATACAGAAATCACATTTTATGGCCGCTGTGAAAAGGGCTTAAATATAGTGTCATAATTGCAGTTATATAATTAGATCTATTTTATTTGTTTTACTTTCTGAAAGGTTTGAGTCTAAATTTCTGACTATCAATGACAAATAAAACATGGCAAAAAATGTGAGTGCAACAATAACTTCAAATGTTTTTACTATTTCTATATCGAATACAAATAATACTAACTGAAGTTTAGAAACAGCTCTTTTAACAAAATGCGAAATTATTATTATAACATTCCAAGCTGCTTTTGCTATCTGTGACTTCTAAGGTTAACAGTGGTTAAAAATGTCTTTACTCTCCTCTGAAGTCTTAATAAGCTCCTCTGGGATTCATGGATTCAGACCCAAAAGTAGAGCTCAAACTTTCGTTAATGTAAAGGCTTATTCCTGTAATGTACTCCTCTTCGAGTCTTGGGTGGCCTTGTCCTGTAATCCATGCTAAATATAAATGGTCACATTAAAGAAATGACTTTTACGTATGATGACCAACTGAAGGTCTCAGTGTAGCTCCTGAGCGTCAACAGGCCAACAATGGGCAGGATGTGCTCACTGAAGACAAACATCTTTATCTTGCATTGCCTGCATTGTTTAAAACTGTCACCTCCATTAGTCATTTGACACGTTATTGTGCAGCAGCTTCCATGTGTCAGAACAATGCTGCGCAGTTTCCTTCTGCAAAAACTATTGTTAGTATTAAAACAACACAAGTTATGCCTTTCCCCATTATTTGCTGATGTAATTAACAATCACACTTCAGTTACGTTAAATAATGTTATGAGTATTTTACTGATTTCAAAGGGAAGGTTACAGTATGGTTGCACAATATTCCTGAAAGAGATTGCATAATACACTGTTTTAGTGTCTCAGTGAAACTGTTAGAGTTGTATTCAAGTAAACTCTACTTCTATGCTTGACTTCACACTTTTTTATTTAAAAAAGTTTTAATCCTTTAAAACAAAAACAGGCAAACAAAGCAGTGACAATAACAAAACAGTTTGCAAAGCATTTTGGAGGTTTTGGTGTGACAACTTTCTGGGACAATAATAAAGTATCTTAAGTTTTATGTTCAAATCTTCCATAATGCACCAAAATTCAGGTTTTACAGACCCACAGGTTCCAACTAAACTCCAGGTTCCAGAACACCCCCTGCTCCCCAACACACATTCTGATAAGTATGACATCAAAACTCCCAACTTGGGACAGTCCCTTGGTGATTAATGAACCTCTAATGAAGGGTTCTGCAAGACACCAGCACCAGCCTTCCCTATGGACACAAGCTGAAATTTTCTCAATAGTTCTAAAGAGTCTCTCTGAAAGCTTTACATTCATCCCGGTTATTTCATAAACAAACACATGCTCGTTATATTACCACAAAAAAGCTGCATAGAAGATAAACACTTATTTGTCTTATAATCTACAGTAGAAATGGAGAATCAGAAAAGGAATACCAGTGTTTTAAGTATCACGTAGCATCAGCTTGGCATGAATACAGCGTTAAATGAATATGTTTTGATGCCCAGTACTTTCAACATCATTCATATTATCGCAAAAAAGGTTTTGCAAGCATCTTAGTCATTCACTTCACTGGAGTCTTTTTTTTTCTACACTGTGTGGAGATATGGGCCACGCAAACCATGGTGCAATGGCAAAACGTCCAATTTATTAACTTGTGCTGACCAATTAAGGTAGGCTGTTATCTCGTGTCCTGTCACCATTTCAAAACGAATGAATTATGCACTGAGGTAAAACACATGTAGGTATTTGGGATGTCTGAGTTCCTCTGATGGTGACATGAGCACTAGAGTAGCCACTGTACAGAGCGAAGAGCATTTTCTGCGATAATATGAATGCTGAAAGTTGTAACACTGTCAAGGCCCTGTTAGAGCCATGCTCTCCTCCAGCCTTGTGTATTTTTAAACAGGCTATTCTTATTGTACAGAGGAGACATTAATGAGAGAAATATGTATGCATATTGTACAAACATTAAAAAATATTCCTTGCTTTAATAGCGAAAGGACCAAATATATATGTATCGGCCACCAATGCACCCTTACTATATATACTGACAAATGGAAAAGTTCATTATTGTTATTAGTCTGGTAATCAGTAATTCAATAATTACAACTAATAATTTAGTGTCTTTTATAGCTCATACAACCTCATGCACATGTAGTTACTAGTGGTTCGATTCCCCGTCCACGTAGGAACACCACTGCTATACCAATAAGAGTATCCATACGCCACTATTCTAATAGGAGCTCTTGACCTCTTTATTCACCTATCATGAAAAGTAGCACTGGATTAGAGTGTCTGCTAAATATAGTAAAATTTTTACAAAAAACTATGTAAATGTGTAAAATAATTGTCCTATCTGATTTAACTACGGCTATGTAAAATTAAACAACGTTCCAACTATTGAGTTTTAACCTGTCTCTTATGCTCACTGCACTATATCTTATGGTTTATAGAAAGAATTTGTATTTTTTATTATTTTTTATTTTGTTATTGACAAAATCGTGTTAATTATGAATTGCCATTATCATTTCAAAAATTATTTTGGTGCATCTCTAAAATAGTAGTATTTTAACAGCCAAAGAATCACAAGTGTTGTCCAAAAGCTCATCTATAAAATAAAACTAGCATATACACACACACAGACACACACACACACACACACACACACACACACACACACACACACACATTGTACTCTGAATACAGCAGCTCTTCTCCTTGAGTCCTCTCTTAGACAGAGCATTGTTAGAGAGCTCCAGGCAGTAATATGCAAGGCTGTAGAGCGCTGGTGACAGATTCCAGTGACTGCTGATTGCAACATCCAGTGTTTCTGCTTCTTTCCTTATCCTCCACTTTTTCTCAGAAAGGACAGGTCGGTTCTTATGAATACTCAAACTGATCTCACATCATTTCTTACACCATTTCATTTCTCCCAAACTCCGCCAGCCCACCTGTCTCACTGTTCACCCCTCTCCGCTTTGCTCATACACACGTCGGCGAGCGTTCTGAATTTGGGTCCGAGTGAATCGAGGAAGTCCAGTGAGTCCTGGTTACTGAGGACACTGCAGCACCCAACAGACCCTGCAGGAGAACCCACCCCCTCGTAGCCATAAGACTTCAGAAGATCTGCCGCAAACCGCCCATCTTCCTCCTTGCCAAAATAGACCAGTTTCTGCCACACAGAAGAAAGTAAAGGGTCAGAAGTTAAAGGAGATGATAGCATTGCTCATTTAGGACAGAGAAAGCTTTGAATTTCAGAAATGTGCTTTAAGCTCCAGAAGAGAATGCTCATTAGAAAAGGAAAAGTGCAGGGAAAGTGATATGATATTTAAGATTAAAGGGCTCATATCAAATCTAGCTTTTTTTTCTTTTTTTAATAAAGTTAGAGTTAAATGTATCAGGTAAACATATAGGGCCAGTTTCCTTGACCTGGATTAGACTAAAACAAATTCCACCGGTGGTTCATGACTGAGCACCCCAGTGTAGTCCAAAACTATGCTTAACCCATGGTCAAGCCATAGTGTTAAAGTTTCAGTATGATCTATCAGGTCCATATGTGAAAACTAAGCTGAAAAAACAGTGTTTTACTAAAATTTTACTTTTTTGAATCCCCTGCTTTTTTGGATGTCTCAAAAAAAACAGTATAATTGCATATTGATGTTATAAGGAGTGTTTCAGCCTAAGCTGTTTTTTGAATGAGGCAAAATGCAAGGCAGCCATTTAGAACAGTGGTCATTTGCATATATCTTAAAGGCACAGTAACAAAAAGAGTCTGTGTTGTTCTAAGGGATTAAGAACTGTTGGAAATTGTCAAAAAAAAGTTAAGATATGGCCCTTTTAAATTTCTTAGCGAGGCCCCAAATTGCATTCCCCACCAGCCGCAAAGCGATGAATAGGAGAGACAGGACTTGAACATTTAGATCTATAAGAGGGCACGTATGCCACAAAGTCACCAGCTCCACTTACATTGTCTAGGTAAAGCTCATTGGTCCTCCACGTGTCCAGGGTGGACATGTCAGAGAACTTGTTGTAAGAGGAGGTGCCATAAAAGCCTCCGCCGTACTGTCCAGAGGAAAACATGCTCTGGTTTGTCATGTAACCCTGCGTGCCACCCTGGTACATGCTCCCCCCATGGATGGCCTGCTGTCCAAAGGCCCCTCCGGCTGCTCCAACCACGTTCTGATGCACTATGTTGGCTCCACCACCATCTACCCCACTGCCAGGTGTCACCAGCAAAGCATCTTTCTGTTGAGGGAAAATTTGTTCATTATATTTATATCATTCACAGTGGCATATACAGCAGAGGTCTGCTGAGGGTTTGGAGGGGGGGCAAAGTGGACACTGTGATGATGAACTATAGTGAACTTCTTTCATTGCCGTTAAAATCGGCAAGGTGTCACCAAGGTGCACTTTATCTCTGAGGGAACACAGCTTGTTTGTTACTCTTCCATATAACCTGCTGTGAATTTTTGTCATCTACTCCTTCATTCTTTACCCTGTTATTATGAGGACTATGCTTGTGCACAAAGCTTCTAAAAACTGATGTGTGCAGCTAACATTCTCCACCGTTGTGCACAGCTTTGCTGTAAATCTTGGATTTATTATTTCTATTTAATTACTTGGTTTTATAGTTCTGCTGCTTTTGTATTACTGTTCGATTACATTTCTAGACTAAATAATTAGAGTGAACGGACTGGCTCTTCACTAGCTTGACGGACATTAAGGCAAGGTTTCCTATTGCAAACACTCAAGTTAAAGTTTTAAATACTGCAGATATTAATTCCCTGCAGAAATCTTTTATTTACAGTGTGCAAATTTATGAAGTTTAAGTACTAGCTCTGCATTAACCAAAGGTTAATTTGTTAAGATAATTTGACTGAGAGTAAACCTCTGACACAGTCAGTTGCTCTTGCGGTGGGGATTTTTGTATAATTGATCTGGGATTGTGAGTCTCTGGCCAAGACCAATTACAGCCTATAAACATGCTGCTCTTAACTCACATTGGGTCACACACTAGAGGATAACCTCTCAAATAAAACAGAAATCTTTCTAAATGAGGTGAATACATTTCAGGTCAGATTAAGTCATTACTTTTCCACAAACATCAAACACTTACCGTCCCTGTTTAACCAAGCAGAGAATAAACAGGGTACTATAAACAAAGAACAAACAAAAAACCCTAGAATAAACAAAAACCCCTACAAGTTTTGGATCCAGCTCCTCAGGGCATTCAGCCAGTCCATTTCTTTGTTTTATTCACCAACCTAACACAAATGAAGCAGCGCTGACTGCTTGTGTTTGTTTAGGTGTGCTGGAAGCTGGAACGGAACAAAAATGTGAACTAGCCATGGGTCACAGAGGACGTGGTTGGGAGTCATTCCTGAAGGCAATGGGCTGACCCAAAATACTTGCTAACAGGCTGCATTTAGGTCGAGCATACGTATGCTGAGCAAAACATTCATTACACTGTTCTCTTTCAGAAAAAGGGTGAAGTTTTAAAACAGGTTCTCACCACTTCCTCCCCTGGAGCTTCAGTGTTAGATTTGAGCAGCATTCCCCCAGTTCCATCATACTCATCAGTCATGCGCAGTTTCTCTCCCTTTGTGCTGCATACTAAGACAAACAGCAGACCTGCCACAGAGAGAAAGAACATTATTCATGCACCCTGGAAAAACCTCAGTCGTGTTTTTATAATGAACCTGCTCATGTACACTTTTCTAGCACTGACAAATATGAACATATGTGAAGAATTCACCTATTTAGACCTTAGTTTTTTACCACATAAATATATTAGGGCTGTCAGTATAAATTATATTAGTAATCTGCATATTATTATGTTGATTAACTAAGTTACTACAAATGGATTTGATGGAACAATAACAAGCCAAGCATGAAAAACTAGGCTAGCCTGCAAGAGAATTAAAATATGAAGTATAACTCCTGATTTATCAATTAAATTTGAATGAGAGTAGTCAAGTTTAATTTATTAAATAATTTTATGACTTTTATGAGAGGCCTAATGATATATCACTAATTAGTATGTATATTGAAAAAAGAAATTAGCAATTCAGGATAGTGCCAGTAGAGGGCACTCACAGAGCAGCAGGAGCAGCAGCAGGGCGAGCAGTATGGCGAGGACGGCCCAAACTCCCAGTCTGGAAGAAATACTCTGAGCCGCGCACACTCCTTCATTTGCACACTTGCACACACGTACAGACACAATCTGCTCTTCCCCTACACCCTGGAGGTCCTTCACTAGCAGGGGGACCTGGTACACACCATTAGGCATATCCACAGCCTGCTCCAAGACCACAGAGGTACCTAAAACGTAAGAGGGTATTCCTTGAGATTATGATCTCACTTGAAAAGAATCAGAAGCATCAGTTTCTTAAGCTGTTGTTCATTGTGCAGAAACATGTGACCTAAGAGAACAACATATGCACTACTCATGTTACATGAAACCTTGCAACTCCACCTTTTTGTTTTTAATTTTTTTTGCCATTTTTTACAGTCTAAAAACTGCAGTTGGTCTTTACATTGTGTACATTTCATGACGAATGTACCAACAGAAACAGTCCAAAATTACATGACAAAATTGTGTTGCATCAACACAGACTATAACGTTATGAATATAGAGGCTGTTTTCTTACAACAGGTTTTAAAGAGGCTTAAAGATGAACCATTTAGGGATTTGTGAGAACATGTCCCCTTAACATACCTGGCTTGGGATCCTTTATATTCCATTTCCCTTGACTCTCTTTGCCCAATTCAAAGGTGAAAGGTCCAGAGTATGGCCTCTCATCATAGTCCACCGCATCAACAACAATGGTGCTGCGTTGACCATCCTTTGAGCACACCACCAGGTCCGGTTTTGGGATCACTGGGACATTATCATTCACGTCTTCAATCAGGATCAACACCGTACCCGTACCGGTCTTCTGACCTGAGAAGGGGGAAGCATTAAATGTGTGGTCTTATTTCTTCTATTACAAGCAGTATTAACACTTTCGTACCTTTTGGCTATTGATGAAGTGTAATTAGAATCATTTTGAAGGGGCTCCCACTGTCAAAAACATAACAGCTGTCTGAAGCTAAATACAATCCCATAAAGCACATTTATTTTTATTTTTTCATTCATTCATTTTTCATTTCATTTCATTGATTCATTTTAACGTATGCCATTCACCAACATGGTCTCACAAAGACTGAATGCTTCTTATCTTACCTCCATTATTTTCAAACTGATATTGCTATTACAAGAGCAAATGAGCATCACTCAAGTGTGAAAGACACTTCCCTAACTCATAGTTCTTTTCTCCAACTGGCTGAACAGCTAAGGAAAGGAAAATAAACCGAACAAAAGCCAATCTGTTCAAGAATGCCATCCTACCACTCTCTGACACTTTGTTTCAGCTGGTGATACAAAGCAAAGATATAACACATTAGCAGAGTACACGACGACAAACCACAAAAACACTCAGAACATTCTGTGTCTGCAAGACACCACACCCTATTTTAGGTTCTTATTTTCAAAGTGCGTAAAGATTGTTGCTACAGCATATTGCCAGAGGTCCAACATACTGTTAATTTTGTGCCATATTTGGACCCACTGCAAAGCCGAAATTCATTTGCCCTTATGACAGCAATATGAGTTCAATATTTTTTGTGAAATTTTAACAACATAAAGCTCAATCTGATCCAATAATCTGGTGATTCTATCCAATTATTCACAATTAAATGGCCTGCTGGAATGATGTGAAATTACGGTGGGTTATAAATATATCATAGTAATTCCACAGCAGAAGAAAACATAAAACAGACGTGCTATTTCTATGGTCTTGTACTGCATAGCACACACTCCATTTTGACTAATACTTTCTGGTCTGGCTCCACCTAAATTGCGGTGGTTTAGCAGTAATGGATTACATTATTGCATGGAGAATGAGGCAAAAAATCTGCTTGTGTTGGGTTTGCACACATCTGTCTCAAGTGATCCATTTTCATGTTCCACCACTGTGCATATTTCAGCTGTATAAAAAAGAAACATGACTGGCTGTGAATATACTAATGTACATTCCATTTACCATAACCCATTAGCACATAATACGGATGGATGCAGCTGTATGAAAATTGCATGTGCCCTGTTGCCTTTTTGTACAGAACTGACGTGGGTTTTGTGCATTGCATCGTGAGAACAGGGCCCTTTGACATCTTTAATGAGGGCAGTTAGACTGGAACACACATGAACAACAGAACTGTGCAAAATTCAACTTGCAATGTAGTGTTTATATACTCACTCTCATCCACAGCTTTGACGGTGATGTTATATGTGCTGTTGTAGACAAGAGGTGACTCTCTGTCAATAGTGTTTGCTACCTTCAGATCGCCAGTAGTCAACATCACATTTATCCAGGAACCTGGATCAGTCAACTTGTAGTATCTGAGAGTGCGAAACATGTTGGTCACTTACTTTAAAAGTGTACACCAGGTTTACATAAAAAGTGTGACTCATTCATGCATTTTCAGCGGTCATTAAATTAAGTAGAATACATATATGACTGCTGATGTCTTGCACGTGATATTTAAGAAGACAAAATAATGACATTTGATTTTTCTAGACTTTTGCAGCCGACTCACTCGACCAATTACAGTTGCTCTTATGTTGGCACAGCAAACCAATAAATGATGGATCAGTTGTATCTTGGCAACCAATACAGCGTGTTATGCCATGTTTGATATGCATAGTGCACAGTGCTAAAAAAATATTATCTGAATATTTTGCATTTTTCTGGCATTGTTTCTGAACATGTTTATTGTGTAACTACTTTAAGAATAGATTATTTAACTCAGTTTTAAATTTTGATTTAAATATTAAAATCAACTTATATTCTACCACATAAATCCAGTCATTTATCACCAAACAATTACAGACACCATAACATGACAAATTCCCTTACTTAATACCCTTGCTGCTTTTAGTCTCTGGATCAACAGCCGTGTAGGTTCCAATGAGAGTTCCGTTGGGTACGTTTTCCTTGACTTTGAGCCGCAGTATAGGTACAGAGAACTCTGGTCCCTCATCCACATCAGTCACGGTGAGCTCTATGGGGACCTTCTTCCAAGAGGAGCTGCTACGTACCAGGGGAGCCTCGTTACGGGCCATCAACTCTAGCTTCACGACTTCCTGTTTTTCCCGATCCAGAGGCTAGGCAAGAGAGGAGAAATGATGAGATGAAAAGTGGGGAAAACCCCCACTTTCAGCTAAGCAGGTATGACTGTGGAATTTCCCTTGGAGGCAGAGACAGTGAAAAGGTAACTGAAAGTTTTCTGCATTTTATATTTGTGACCTTCATAAAGCATGTTATGCTTTATATAATATTGTTGTCTTTTCACTGTATCTGAATATGCCTATAAAGGCACTTAACAAGTCAACTGGTAGCAAGAAGTCCCGGTATCATAGCAACCACTTCAAGACGATAAGCATTATACACTACAAACAGTAATCAGTCAATCTCTCAATTTCACTTTCAGATTTCCCGTCACACTGTTTCCCGCCACCATGTGCCCATCATATTGTAGCAGATAGACCGTCAATCTACTTCATTCAAAACTAGTAACTTCATGTGTTTTTTTTGTCCTGAACTAGGTGGGTTTTCTCAAAAACAGAGGAACAGCCTTTGGGGAGTTCTACCTGTATTAGCTTGTTGGTCTTAGGGCAGGGTGTGCCTGCAGTCACTGCGTCTGACACACACAAACACGTCATACACTCAGCCTGTCTCTCACACCCTGCTCACAGATACCAGACTAACACCGTAACTCTTCTATAAATAATATACACAGAGCTTTACCAGAGATACAGCATCTATGCAGTCTCTGAAAACCACTGTACATCGAAAACCACCAAACTACAGCCAAATATATGCTATCCTTCAGAAGTTTGGAATCACTATTCAGATGTTCGAAGACAAGTTTTGAATAATAAATTAATGAAATTATGAGATACTACTAGTGTTAAGTTCATAAGTTTTTAATAATTTGTAGGAAGCTATCAAGTGATGAACAGCGCTGTAGATGATTCCATAATAACTAAGAATGATCTACAGCATCAAGAGTGAAGTTATAACAAAATTAGGACCACAAAAAGGTGATCAATTTTTGAGGCACCCAACTTGACAAGAAATTACTGAGAATTACTATAAAAGACAGTAACAGGAAACTACTATAAATAACATTGTTGTTTCCAAAAATCTTGAAATACTGAATAAAACTCCCAATACCCTTAGGGATCTAATTTCATTATACACTGTATATGATGCTACTGAACAAAAAAGTGACACGTGAGCTCAACTTTTTTTTAACAGTAGTGTACAGTTAGGTCGATAATCTTTGGTAAAGATGGGTAAAAAAATATATAAGTAAATCTAACTTTCAATTGAAATACTGTAGCCTGAGAAAACAAAAACTCTTATAATTTTTTTTTCTTAACAAAACCACGTCACCATTACTGGTACCCCTGCATGTAGTACTTTATGGATCTCAATATGCCATCATAAAAGCAATGATAATGCTTGAAAAATTGAAGAATACATAGCACAGAATCTGAGACCACTCTTTGAATAAAGAATCTCCCCAGATCCCCCAGGGTCCGACATAGTCTCTTTTGGACTTTCTTCTTCAATTCAGCCCATATTAATAATTACATTTTCTAGTTACAATAGTTACAATTTCCATGGGTACCAATAACTGTAATATATGGTTTTTTAAACAAAAAAGATTTTTTTTTAAACATTTTAGTTTTATTGGACAAAATATACAAATTAAGGTCAGATTTCTCTCATATTTTCAGTGTGAGATAAAGCATATAAGCCACAGAGACCTTTTCTATTTCCTTTTTTTAAGTGCCAAAAATTACGTAGCTGACTGATCTATCACATAATGTGTAAATACTTCAAACCAAAAAATAAGGTCTTTGATTTACCACAATTTCACACAATTCTCAGAAAATAAAAGGGCTAAAAAGGCATTCATGTGTTTTCTGCCTTGCTTAGCTCTAAACTCAAACCCGTTTTAAACCCATTCAGCCTGTTTTTCTAAAAACAATTGTCTTTCTGCACTTTCTCCAGGTACATTCTTTTTCCGCACCTCCCCCGCGCTCTTCCCCTCTGTCTTACCTTTGCAACGTAGAGCAGCCCCTCATTGGTGGCAGGGTCAGTCCTGATCCAGAAGTTTCCACTTTCGTTGCCCTTGGTGATCTCATACACTGCTTTCCAGTTTGGGGTTCCTTTCAGGTCCTTATCATCCACAGGGATCCTGAGGACCAGAACGTCTGCCTGGTTCTCCTGCACTTGAGCCTTGTACTGTCACAGAAACACAACACGTGGTCATGACAGGATCTCGCCATAAACAGATATGATGGATGAATGAGAGTCAGAAAGCTGTACTTTCACAACGGAGGGTGCTGGTTTAGAACAAATGATTGACTAGAAGACAGCCGAACGACTCTTCCTATAGGGGTGTGTTTCCCAAAAACTTTGAAACAATAAGTACTTTGTTTCACTTTGTTATTTTAAGAATATTCGTTAATGTTTCCCAAAACTCTTCTTAACTAAAGTACTATATAAACGCACTAGTATATCGCTGTTGTCATAAGAAAACCTTGTATCTCCATTTTACATACATAATTTGAAAATACCTGTTACCCTTTACATTGTGTGTAAATTTCATGATGAATGGACTGAAACAAATGACCCAAAATGACTTGGAAAAAGGTCCGGTTCCACTGACTTACATTAAAAATAAAGTATGTTTTTTCCTTCTCCTGTAAACATACATGGACATACAAGGTTTTCCTCTGACAACAGCGATATATTAACAACTAACTGACATATTCATTATTCATAGTCATATCAACACATTTGATTTAATTATATAATACAAAACAAATGCGTTGATGTAAGAATATATACAAAAAAAACAATATATTTTGAAATAAATGAATATGGGAAGATGGGTGGTGATAACGGTAATATAAATTGGACTCTGTTTTTAGAGCATTTTTTTTTCCTATCTCCTATAACTGATCATTTATTTCTTCTATGAAAAGTGTTGTTTGCTTACACAGCTGCCGTTCACCATTTGTCCCACGGAGTACAGTGTAGGACTATTTATCTGACTGATTGACTATTCAAATGTCTGTGTAGTCAATGCTTTCTAATATTGTGTTAAAAAAAGTTTATAGCTGCTTTTCAGGCGCAACAGGGATTTGACAGTAAGTGAAATCTATGGTTCAGCTTTCAACTCCTGCACTGGTGAAGCGAGGAATCAACGGAAAGCACTACAGACTCATTTGTTAAATTTTGCATTACAAAACCCATCAGGAAACACTCGCAGAACTGACTCATTCTTTTCTTGTGTCCCTCGTTAGGTTGTTTGATTTTCACTAAGATCAAGCATTTTTGGTGAACTTAGCTCAGAACCGGTCTATTTCGATATGCATGTAACCTGCTAAAACTTCTTTTTAGACTCTTATACTCTCACAGACCAATAAGTGGGCAACACAAGGCAATTCCTTACCCTCAGAACTACATACCTTGAGTATTGGTTTCATTATAGATACATGTGATATGTTTCTTTAACATGAAATGTTCATAAAATATTTATAAAGATTGATGTGTATATTTATTCAGTTATTAAGCAACATGTGCGTGATAGCAGTTCAGTGATCAAATACTGTATAAGCTGTATAAAAACATATTATAACAAAATGTGCTGATACACTGCTTCTTAAATAAACACAAATAGAATTTAAATCACATTACAAATAAAATCTAAACAAGACTAACGGATAAATTCCATATGTAAAACAGACAAGCATCTCAGATTATCAAATATGATTTCTATATGAGGACTGGGATTGTACATTTATTGGAAATGGAAAAGTAGTCACCACTGAGTACTACGTAAGAATGGATTATGGAATACAGTACTGGCTGCACTACTGAAAGTCAAAAAGATGGCATACCAGGCTTTCTTTGAAGGTAGGTGGGTTGTCATTGATGTCAGTCAGAAAGATAGTGGCCAAGCCCTGGTTGGAGAGCCCATTAGATGCTCCACCCATGTCTTTGATTTCAATTCTAACAAAGTACCTGTCCTGAGTCTGAGGGGAAAAAAGCCACAATTTTAGACATTTTAATGCAATTACAAAACATGAACATTCACACAAATTACTTATAAGACTTAGCAAAAATTCTCAAAAAGCAAACAACACACAAATACATACCCATCAACACATGCACTGAAAAAAGTAATAGTGAGTTAACTTCACTTAAATGATTTCCACATCATTTCTACATGAATAAAACATCCTACATCAGCACAATTTCTGTTTACATAACAATGCTGATGTAAAGCATTTTATTTTTGTGGAAATTTTATACACATTTGAATCAAATGGAATTGAAGTCGACTCCACTCATCACCTTTTCTTCAGTGTGCTGAGTCAAAGCATTGTGTTTGTAGGCAGAAAAATACCTCTCTATCCAGTGTTCCTGTTCTGCTAGTTATAAGTCCACTGAAATCGGCGATGGTGAACAGGTCTGTCCCATTCAGTAAAGAGTATCTGATGCGGGTGTGAGGGGTGTTGGGCTCATCCCTGTCTGTGGCATTCACTTTTCCTACAACAGTTCCTTAACATAGCCCAGAAAAAAAGCAATTAATTCTTGAGCTTCATGTAAGACTACAATCAGCTAATGTACCAGTATGTACTGTTCTGGTTTAAAATGGCCCTAGATCAACATTTACACTATTTTTTTCACAAAATAAGTGTCTCGCTTCTTTGTTCTGCATCCTGCTGCACAGGTAATGTCTGTCTCCATTTGTCTGACGGAGAGAGCGGTGGTGTTTTTTTAAAAATTCAGACTCTTGTTTGGCATGGCTGATTTTCCATTCCTCCTACAGTGCTGACAGACTACTCACAATAACCTACTTACAGAGGAGGACGTCTTGCTTGAGGTTTTTTCAAGACCTGAAATGCATTAAAACTACTTGTACTTGAATTAGACTGAAGCAATAATTTGGAGAAACATCAAAGTTTGCTTCTTAGTAATTCAGTATACCACATATTAAATACACACAGTAACATTATCATGAACCTTTAATAAAATTACTACCAGTGCAATTTAGTCGAACAAGACGCAGTTTAACCAGAGATTAGATGTGCATATCAGCTCTGCTTTCACAACACTTAACTGTCACAATGTGATCACATCATATGGCCTAAACTCTGAACATATCAAAGACAAATAAACACAGCGCACAGCCGCAGCCAGGCAAAGAAGAGAGAAACCCACAACTTTGTAGTATTAAACTTTAGTATTAAACTGTTGGCTTGATGCTACTTTGACATGTGGAAAACCATTAGGGTGCTAGTAGAAACTGTCACTATCATATGAGTGGACAAGCAAATGCAAGTGTGATCTTCCACATTAAGTGCTATTATATCATGATGTGCACAACTGTTGATTATTATATAAATAAAAATGTAAGTTTAACAAATGATTGGTATATCCAATGGTTTAATTTATGTGAGAGCATTTGCGCTCTTACATAAAACAAACCAGAAAGGACTGCTGTGCTCTCTAAGCAAATAGGCCTTTAGCTAAGAGAAAAGTGATTGAACATACAGTAAGCAACCTACATTTGTACATTACAGGCACCCACCACATGCAAGGCACTTTGTTTAGGTACATTTTCTACTGCCTGTGTTAAGGTAGGGAGGTAGGGATGTTTTTTTTTTTTTTGGTAATGGTAAGTATTTGACTTTTTACTGAGTTTTTGTTTATTGTTTTGACTGCTCCAAAGCTTCAGCTTATTATGCGAAAACCTCAGACCTAGATGTATCGATGGCACGTTTCTTAGGTTTTAGGCTAGTGGCAAGGTATCATTAACAAGCACATAACAACATTAGACAGACTCACCTGGGTTGCTCTGTTCCTCCACAGTAAAGATCAGAGGGCTGGAAAACTCAGGAGCATTGTCATTCTCATCCTCCACGTTCACAGTGATTGGTAGAGGCTGGTCTTTCTCCTGATTGGTATATTTGTCTTTTGCATGAGCTAAAAACTGAGGAAGAGGAGAAGTTGGTAAAGCAGGTAGCGCAGGGTAGGTAGTCTTTCTTATACAGTGCTATAGGATATGCAGGCTTTGGTTCCAGTGCTATACACAGATTAAGGGTACTGTACTGCTTATACAGTCATGTGTACAAATATTTCAGTGTAATACATTTCTATTCAACTGTATCCACATTTTTAGACTACATGGCCAATGAATTTGCTTAATTAAAGAGTGTGGGGCAAAAGAATGAGCATTACTCACTATAAGCTGAGGGTATTCCTCACGGTCAACAGCGTAGTGAACTTTCAGCTGGCCGGTGTTGGGGACGACTGAGAACAGGTTTATAGGTGTAGTGGTAATGCCAGGTCCTTCAATTGTGTAGTAAATCGAGTAATTTACCGAAGAATCCGATCCAATCTGGCAGGAAGGAGAAATACAGAAGAGCTGATATGAGAAGGGTAGACGAAAATGGCAAATATATATATATCACAATGTTTACAGACATTTTCAGAGTACACGATAGGCATAACAATATTTAGTCTGAGCTGCTAAAAAAAACAAGCAGTTTGTTATCTCCTATCCTGCATAAAACAAAACAAAGGCACACATTTCAAAGATCATAAAGAAATTTTAAATGTTAGTTTTTTTCCTGTGAGTCATTTTAAATACATTTTTTTATATTAAATAATGTTGTTATTGAGGTAAGTACTTGTTTACAAATTATTTTTAAATAAAGATAGGTTGGCCATTTGCACCTCAATTTTTTTGCATTTTTTCTCTCTTTTCTTTCTGTAAAAAATAAATAAAGAGCTTATGTTCAAAGTAAAAGTCTGGGAAGGACAACGATAAAAGAAAACTCAAAAAAAGAAAAACTGAGGAAATCCAACAGAAATTTGTATAATTCTACACTGTCCACAAACTAGAAACCAAAAAGAGGAGCTTGCTTTAACCAATCTGAAGAAGAGCAATTTTCTGAGGGAATATTCTCTCTTTTTGGCGTCTTCAGTCAGTCAGTGCAGCGTCCATTCTCAACAGAATTGCGCCTCCTTCTGCTTAGTGTTAAAAATCATGCTAAAAATCATGCAGCTGTGGGAGCCTTTCCGAATGGAAATCATGTTAGTGCCATCACCAATACTTAGTAAATCTGATCCTATAGAGACAAATTTCTGAGAGTATGAGGAAAGTATGAGTCTTACAGACTCCAATTCCTTGGGGAAAGGACCCTTATCATTCTCTTTGATGCTGAGAGGAGGAGGACTCCATCTTCTCTTAGCACGTCTGAGAACTGCACTGCTAGATTTTTGAGACACCTACAAACACAGACAGAAGAAATATTGTATGGAGGTCCTTTTTTGATGAGAAAAATATTTTTTTTTAGTGCTGTGGCACTTACAGAAAAATCCTGACTGGGTTTTACAACTTCAATAACCAGCATGCACTGCTCACTGAGTGGAATTACCTGATCAATGGGGGAAAGGTTGACATCTACTTTCCACTTGTGACCGCTCTGGTCCTGCACCAGTACCCAGAAAGATTTGCCGTCATCTGGTACCGTGATGACATCCGCAGTGAGAATTGTGCCATCGGTCTGTACGGCAAAGTCCGGGTCATTGGAGACTAAATACAGCCTCCCGAACCCACAATGATCCAGATTCACTAGGAAGAGAGTACAAGACAATGCCAACATGAAGTGGTCAACCTCCAGAATCAATAACTATGAGGATAAATATTTTGAAACACCTAAACCTTTTATAAATAAAAGTGGACATTAAAGTACATGCGATGTGCTGGATAATCAACAACAACTCTCTAGCTCTGTACCTTTGGAGACAACATAACCAGCCTGCAGCCTCTCAGGAACCTGTGCTCGAACATGCCTCTGAACACAAGACTCCACTGAATAACGCAGCACCTGTGAGAGAGAGAGAGAGAGAGAGAGAGGAGGTGTTGGCTCAGTCACAGCCAACTTCAGCTTTCCTAAGACGTGTTCCAGTCACAACTATTACTGCACTGAAACAAAGTGACTCAGTGTGTAAATTTGAACACAATCTGCACAGTATCCAAATACTGCACTGACAGAAACATTTGTCCCTCATTAACACCTTAAACACCTTTATGTGGGCCTGGTTTTTCACACTCATAACTTAATAATGTGCAAATTAGTTTCATAACTGTTACTGAAAAATTTATATTAGTTATGAAATAACACATCTTAAAATGAATTAAGGAATAATAACTCTTTCAGTCAGTCAAATGTCTGGCATTTGAGTACTTAATAGCTAGCGCCTTAACAGTTAGCTAATTCGAATCTAAAGAATTCACAGGCCGAACTAAATGCCCTGCAATTCATACTGGGACAAAAATAACTTGCATCTATTTCTACAAAAATATCTAAAAATAAATCGAATGGTTCTTTAAACCAGGGGAGTCCTGCAGGTTTTCATTCGAATAAAGTAAGAGCACACATGGTCAACTGTTTGAAGATAGAGGCTGCGTTCAAAACCACATACTACTATACTGTACATACTACATTCACAGATGCAGTAAAATGCAGTAAAAATGAATAAAATGCACATAATTTAGCACAGTAGCTCAGCATAACAAACATTCTGCTCTTCCAGAGCATAATAACTTTGTCATCATTCATCAATCTGAAATATAGGTCAAATCTAAACATCTATCCTATGCCAATAAGTAACCTATTGTCACCTAAGCATTCTGCTTCTTTAATACATCAAACGTGTCTTCAAATATCGGTCTAAATTATCCTCAATTCTAATGATTTGTTTTTTTAACAACTTATCTGATGATACAAATATGCTGGTATATTCTGATTTCATTGTGTAGCTTTAGTGTGGGAATAGAGGTTGGCTGAAAAAAAAACAGATACAGGGTTAAAAAGTGGGAGAGCCTTCATGACTTTCGCTCTTTTGTTTTCTGTTTCACTCTCTCTGACTCTAAATCCTGCAACCATGCTTTGGTTTGGAGGGAGATACGATGAGTGGGCAGTTTTTTGTATTGTAATAAGAAGCAGATGTTGAAAGTGAACAATTGCACTCCACCCAGCGTCAGCGCAACTCTATTCTTCTCTCCCTTTTCCTTCCCAACACACCCTGTCACTGCATGCTACTGGCATGAGCTTTACAGGGCAGTGCAGGCTGCAATAATTTATCTTAGCAGTAGTAATGGGAAATCTAAACAGGAGGTGAAAAACTGATACACTTCCAGCTCAGCACAAAATATGCATCATCAAGCTTTGCTTGTCCCACGTAAAAGTGGGCTACATGAGAATATTACACGTAATACACAAACGCACTACTCTCTGTTGTACAGTAGGCCTAAAAGAAAAACAGGATGCTTTCAATAGCCTGAAAAAAAAAAAAACTTCCCACAAAGAGCCACGAGGAGTAGAAATGAAAGAAAGCAAGTAAACTCCAGCCCGTTCTGAAAAGCTGCTGCCTATATAAAGTTAATGACAACAACAATAATAATAACAGTAATAATAACAACAAGTAGTCCAGCAAAAGTGAGTAATAGCCTACAAACCATAACATAGACAAGAAAATAAAAACAGTAAGACAGGTTATGAGGACCACCTTGCCGTTGCAAAACTTTCTAAGGTGAAAGAAAGTCTTTTAAGTAATACTACGAAGTGAAATACTCTCAAATAAATCATAAGCACCAGTAATGGCCTCCAAACTTTAAACCTGAACCATCGAGCCAGATTTCCTTTCATAATTTGACTAAGTCCTTCTTCATTATTATGAAGTGGGGTGGACAATGATGATATTTTAGCATTATCGTGATAAATTATGTCACAGTATGATTTTCTGAGCACATTGTGGACGTCACCAGAGCTTAAAGAACACTGACCAACATGCTTCACGACAAAAACAGCATAATTTGTCTTGTTTAACTGAATTTTGTGCAGAACAGTATGTGAAATGTTATATAAAAATCACTGCCCGAAAATGTTATATTTTTGCCAAATCCAGTTATTTATTATTGAGGTAGTGTCAGATATAGTGGAATGGTTATGCAACATGCACATCTGAAGCTTCAGTCTGTCACAGCTGTACATTTTATGAAACAAATACAGAACTGTGTCCACATTACTTAACTACCTTTCTAACCAATAATTATTGGGAGATTAGTACATGCACTGCATTGTGGTTACAAACGGAAATACAAAAGAGAAATGAAATGACATTACAATAACCCTCAGGCGGTTCATGTCTATGAATGCTGGAGTAGGCAGTCTGGATAGTATTGTATGTCAGTATGTTTCACTGACAAAAGGTTTTATCAAAAAGTCCAAACAATATAAACAACCAACTATTTATTATAATTTTAAAAGCTGAATCAAACCATTCTTATTTCTGTACTTCACTCTGTTAACTTTTAGACTGTTTTATAATCGTAGTTTTGAGTTGTTCTGGATCATTATAATGTAGTCATCAGCATCTGCTTCATTAAAGACCCATATTTCAGTCTGCTTTCCTCGCCTCATTTGGGTTTATGCCCAGTCTGACTCGATCCAGTGCAATAAGGAATCCTTCCAAAATGATAATTACTGCAGCAAATGAGAAGACCAATATACTGGATTTTAGCCTAACGGCCAGACGCCTAATGCCCATTTTTCAAAGGTTTTGGCGGTAGATTTGGCTTGGAACAGCCAGACTGCAGGATGTAAACCTGCCCTAAAACCAAGGGACATTTGGTCTTGGTCAGTTTTCATTTATAGGCATATGGGTCATTTCTGCAGTCTTTCTGCTGCCTGACCACAACACTAAAGTGTTTACATTTGCTTGTGCAATGTGTGTATGTTTTAATGACCATCAAATTCGTGCGACCATCACAAATTTAGATTCAGTGTCCCTATTTGCATACAATTGTAGTAACTTAAATGACAGTGTTCCTAGTTAGTCTGCAGTCTATAGTTTTAATAGTTCTGTACCTGACAGTTTTAGCTGAATAAGTCTATTTCATGAGATGGCTCGCGTTTCTATTCGTGTTGAACGTAGCTAAGTGGTAATGTAACTTACAGGCCTGTTAAAAATGTAGCCCACCTAGTATTAAACTGACCTAAGGTTGAGGCTAAAATCAAGCTTCTGGCTTCCCTGTCTAATTATTAACCTAGCAGAACCGAGAGGGTGTTACCAGATAAAAGCTGTGGAGAAGAGCCATATAAACTAAGCCCAGACAGTCTACGAAATATTTCTTAATCCCCTAAAAATGGTTCTCTAAATCGGGAAGTCGAGGAAGCCGAGAAAGCCTACCTCGCTCATATCCAACTGCCACATTCCTCAAGTGGTCCTGTGAACTCTGTGAGCTTAGCAACCCTCGCTACCCCCCCCATAAACACGAAGCCGTTGGGGGTGTTTTTTTTTTTCGTTAGCAAGGCGGACATAACGTTACACATTTACCATTTAACGTTACTTCTGCTCTCGTGAGAGGACGATAGCGACGGACAACTTTTCCCGGCAAGAAAACATAGATAACTGTTACAGGTAACCACACATTCCTAAAGCCGTCTGAAGAGTGTTGACAGCGGAAAAACTTACCAAAACAAGCAGGCTAATGTAGAAAAGGCCAGACCGCGACATGTTGTCCAGGCAGTAGGTTCGTTTAGAGCGGAAAGCAGCGGCGTCCCCGCTCCAGCGTTTCTGCTCTAGAGGAGGAGGCTAGGCTAAAGTCCTGTAGGCGAGGTGTGGTGTGGTGTGGTGGTGGAGGGAGGGAGGGAAGGAGGGAGGCGGCGGTTGCCTCAGTCCAGTCTTCACCGGGTTTGGGTGTGGTGGGGCGTTGGCGAGCCTCCTGTGAAGGAGGTCTTACCTGGCAGAGCACCCGTATATTTGAGTTGCAATGAGGTGAGTAATTATCTTAGTGAAACTTCCTCCCAGTCCTATTGTGAGTGAGTGTGAGAGACACTCAGATGGTATGTTTATCAGAATTGGATGGGTCAGTTCTCTCCTGTCAAGGTGAGTGGCAGGAGAGAGAGAGACATATACATACTACAGGACAATACTAGCTACAGTGCAGTGTTCAGAGTTTAAGCTTATGAGTTTTTAATGTTTTTAACTGTTCTTCCAGCCTCTGATAGGTTTTCTAAAATTTTATTTTCTTTTACCTCAGATCTCTTTCTCAACTTTGTAATCAAAGCTCTGCTGATACCAGCATTATTTGTCGTACCTTCTAAGAACAAGAGAGTGAGAGTGAGGGCTGTGTGTAAGCTGAGTGAACTTCGTTCCAAACGGGAAGTGCAGTAAAAACACAGTCTGTTGGTCTGTTTTGCTAGGCAGTGAGCTGAAAACCTCAGAGATGGGGCAGGACTGTCTGTGTTTGCCCACAGAGAAACTTAACGGCCCATTTGGAAGCCTTTAAAGATGTCAATGCCTCATTGGCAGCCATCAGTACCCTCTGCAAGATCACATTTAAATTATACACCACAAAGATATATAAATGACTCTTAGGAAAGTGAATGTGATGTTTTGAAGTAGTAACATGGTCCATTTCACAACATTTTATGCTCATCAATGGATTCATTATTTTTCAGTTGTATTTATGAGTAAAATCTCGAAACATGCTGGACCGGGTTTATTGGGAAGTTGAGTAAGTAGCATACAGACATGTAAGTACAGTCATGAAACACATGCTCTTATATGCTACTGTCCGCCACTGATCAGAGGGATCGTCATATGAAACAGGTCACAAAGTCCCTGTTTGTCACCAAAGCTTCCATAATACCAATACAGCCTTCACTGTGCCACGTGTGTGTGTGTGAGCAGAGTGAAAAATCACTTGTGGGGTCTGGATTTTCAGACGTGTGTTATCCATATCAGATCTATCTCTCTCTCTCTCTCTCTCTCTCTGTATGTGATGAGCACTGACATGACATTAGTAACCATCTAGTCATGCCTAGTCATCGTCATCAGACCATCATTTTTTTAACCATCAGATGAACCGTGATAGTGAATTCTGTTTTCAGGTGTACATGCTACATTACGAATTTATTTGTATAAAGTTTGAGGAGATTAAAAGTTTGAACCCTTAAAGGGGAATTCCACTGAGTTTTAAAGAGTTTCAAAATGATTCAGTCATTGAGACATAAACAGAGTCATTCAGAGTGGTGTAATGTCAAAAGGTTCACTGTAGAGAAGTTTGAGATTTCAGATTTCTTTACAGTGGCGGTGATAGGAACCAGGGGTCGCAATGTGTATGTAGTAGAGGTGGTTGATATGGCGATACGTCATATCACAGTAATTTTCACAATAATTTTCACGATACACAATATGGCACGATATACATTTTTTTTCTGCTATTGATAAGTTGGAAAAGACAGCGTAGAGCCACATAAAAATACTATTAAAACAATGAATACCATGAATTATTTCCAAATTTTGTAAATACTGCACTGCACTAAATCCAGTTTATCAGGCCTTTTTATGCTCAGTTTTATTCAAACATGCAGTTGGTAAGTGTTTTTAAGTACTGATGATGTCCACAATATGATCAGAAAAGCATATTGTGATATAGTTCATCACTATAAGGATAAATTTTGTCAAAATTATATGAAAAGATACATTTTGTTTTTACCTTACAATGCACTGCCTGTGTGTTCTCTGCCATGAATGAATTTCAAAAAGTACAGGGTGATTCAAAAAGATTCATCCGATTTCAAAGCGCCATATTTTTACAACTGTGAGGCGCCTAGGAACCAATCACATCCCAATTGAAAGAGGGGGTCACAGAGTTTCTGACTGTCACCAGAAGATGGCTCCCTTCAGTCTGCGAGAAGATGGCGACTCCTGCGTTTTGCATTCTCCACTTCAATAAGAGTGAATCCGTCATAACTGTGCAATGTGATTTTCGCCAGCTGTGAACCTCCAACAGCTCAGAGCATTCATCATCGGTTCCACAACACTGGATGACCTCTAAAATCGCATTGAAAGAGCCGTAAGCACAATGACATCTGACATGCTCAATCAAGTATGGGATGAATTTGACTATCACGTTGATGTTGTCCGTACAGCTGGAGGAGGTCATACTGAGCACAAATTACATAATAAACTTTACACTCACTTAAACCATTTACAATTTACTGCACTGTAATGATTCACAAGTGAAATAAGTCTTTTTGAAATCAAATGAATCTTTTTGAATCACCCTGTATATTTTTGGCCAAAACCTCCTCAGAACTATCATAAAGCAAAGTCTCAGGCATCAGGCAACATTTTTATAAGCACTTCATGTAATAACTTCCTGTGAGGGAGCTTTTAGAGGCAGACATCTGGTTCCTGTCACCACCACTGTGAACGCTTCTCACTCTGCAAATCTCTAGAACTGACTCTGACTCTGACTAGCTCTGAATGACTTTGTTTACATCTAAACCATCTTAGTAAACACTTTATTTCTTGAACAAAGTTGAGAAAGATAGTTTAGACAGGTTTCCTTATTGTTTTCATCTTATTATAATTTCAAGCTTTTTCACTTGACAATAAAAAACCGGGAAGTATATCAGCAGTATTTAAGCAGAAAAAATGACCTTATGATTCACACTGTCAGAAAACAACATACGCAAGTGGAACAGACTGTAGGCAGGGTTTACTGGAGAGATATGTCAGTAGATATGAAGATAGGAAGAAAAGAACTGATGCAATAAAAACAATCACAAAAAAAATATCACATGTTGCTAATGGCTCAACCACAGTAGCAGAGCAGTAGGTGTTAAAACACGCAGAGTATTTAACACAGCGTCATGCTTGGTGAGATGGATAGAATGGGGCCGGAAAGCGAGGCAGTGGAATTTGGGATGTTACTGTGAATGACTCTAAACCCTCTGCCCCAGAGCTCCTGTTCATCTGGTCCAACCGTTTAAAGGACAATGAACTGTGGAGCAGCAGAGACAAACACACGACCTCAGCATCTTCAGCTACTCAGAACAGAGGGGCAGAGGATTAAGATTATAATCCACCATTTGTGTGCTGAGTTTTTATGACTCAGTTCTCACACTTGTTTACAGATTTGTGTGGTTACTTTCTGTCATACTGTAATATATTGTTAGTGTCCTATAAAAACCACAAAAACCAAGTCCATTTTTTTTCCATTTATGCCAACGATTTAAAATATTAATTGTGTAAACATTTCATGACAAACCAACATACAGCAATAGTTTAAAATTCTAATAAAATCTTGATACTGTTGACAAAATTGCATACAGTGAAATTAAGAATGTTTTTACACAAAAGTGTCGAATATACTATGTGTGCACTTTATGTTAATTAATTTATGGTAATTTATATATTACATATCATTTACTATAACATCTTTGCACTACAGTTTATATGTAGTGATTAATCATATTTATACAAACAACATACTGCAAATGCCCGGTAAGGTTGTAAAAGGGGCGAGTGGGCCACAACCTTAAAGTTTGGCTTATGCAAATTAACTGTAATTAAGTATGTAAAGAAGCAACCCACACGTTTCTCTTCCAAATGAAAACATACATTTTCTTTCCAGCACTTACTGTTCATAAACAATTCATCCATAAACAAACCATTTTGGAACAGTTTTTATAAGTGTTTTGCTTATATTTATAAGACTATGTCTTATGGTTTTTTGAATCACACAAGCTTTCCAATATAAATATATAAGATGTTATTTACTTGACATTTATTAATTAATCCAAATTTTCATGTTTTGAATTTATATGGGAGAATATGAGGATATGAAGCTTTGTGGTAGAGGTGCTTTATAACTAACCCTTTAACCTGGCTAGTTTTCACTGAGTTATTTACATGACTCAAAATGGTGCTACATTACAGATACCAAGGAGGTGGTTAAAATAATATAAGTGTGAATGCTGTGGTTTAGATAAGGTTACTTTTATGGTATAAAACTTTAGGTTGAATCTCAAGAAACATCTATCTAATTGTTGTCAGAGTTCACAGGTGACATTGCTGTGAGATTATGAGAGCATGTTCTACTTGAACCTGTTTAACTACATGAAATATCCATGTTACCCACTTTAGGTTGCGTCCCACTCTCGAGACTTTATATGAATGACATCTATAGAACGTTTCGATTTTTCTTTCTGTGAATAAAAAGTTTTGATAAAAGAATTAGCAGAAACTAACTTCTCTCAGTGTTTACATTGGGCAGTTTGGTCAGTCTAACTAGGCAAGGCTAATCCCTGTGGGGGCTGTACGTTATTCTGGCTAGCTCTTACTGCAAATTGCTTCAAAACAGTGCTATGTTTTGGATATGAAGATGGTGATTAAAATAGTACAGGTGTAAATTTTATAATTTATACTAACATCTCAGTAAACTAAAACATTTCTGACAAAAAAAAAGTTCAGATTACACAGATTACACTGCTATGGGCATATGGGAAATGACATGTTCAGCTCAAACCTGTTTCACTACATTAAAATGCCTGGTTTAACTTTGCAGTAGGCTGTGCCCCACACTGCCCTAATTTAATTATAATTTTGGCATTGCTTACAGAGGACAGTGCAGCGTGTGATTAGAGATTCCAAGTCTATGACACTGAAACTGTAGCCTGGGTGTGCCAAGATGAGCTTTAGACACACCTGTTTATGCCTAAAAACCTGAGGTTCATTGTGTACTCTTGCAGTGAACACATCTTATCAGGCCTGAATCACTTGGATTTGAAATGGGTGTGGATGTGTGTTTGTTGGTGTGTGAGCATATGTGAAAG